TGTTGGGCCGTTCTTTACGTTTTGGGGGCTCCTTGGGGTCGTCTTGGGCTGTCCTTGGACGTCTTGGGGGCCCCCCGGGAAGCCGGGAGGCGCGGTACCGGCCAGATGTCAGGGGATGTGGGATTTCCGGGTAGGGGCGCGGTAACGAGCGCCTCTTCGGCAGTTTTGGGGGTTTCTTGGCCCGTCTTGGACCCGTCCTGGGAGTCTTTTGGGCGGCCTTGGGGCGTTCTTGGACCGTTGGAAGCTCGAAAACGCGAGCAGGCCAAAAACATGGAAACATACAATCAAAATCGAAGATTTTGACCTCTTCGGGCTTTCCCGGGACGCCTCTCGGACCTCTCTTGGGGCCTTCTGGAGGCCTCCTGGAGGCCTGGAGAGCCGTCGGAAGGGTATCTCGGGCTGCGCGGGAGCGCGTTGGGCCGTTCTTTACGTTTTGGGGGCTCCTTGGGGTCGCCATGGGCTGTCCTTGGGCGTCTTGGGGTCTCCCCCCAGGAAGCCGGGAGGCGCGGTACCCGCCAGATGTCAGGGGATGTGTAGGACCACCGAGTATGAGCTCATTTTGAAACAAAAGGGCATTCTGGGAATTCTTTTTTTCTTCCCCTTATCCTAAGATGGGGTTCTTGTTATTGCTTGGACGCCTCCTACTCCTTCTTCCTCGTCTTCTCCCCTCTCCTCCTCATACTCAGACTTACTCATACACAGACTGACTCACACTCAGACTTACTCATACCAAGACTTACTCACACACAAAATTACTCATACTCAGACCTATTCATACTCAGACCTACTCCTACTCAGACTTACTCATGCTGAGACTCACGCACGCCCCGTTCGCGACCGTTTGTGGGGATGCCTCAAGCGGTTTGCTTGTTTTCTGCCCCAACATCCTTCGCTTTCGGAGCAGATTTGGAGGATGTCTCGAGCGAGGCGCTCATTTTCACGTCCCTAAAGGGAGCCGCCAGGGGTTCTCTCACGGTCCCGTTCGTGGCCGTTTTGCGCGGATGTCTCAAGCGGTTTGCCTGTTTTCTGTCCCAGCATCCTTCGCTTTCGGAGCAGATTTGGAGGATGTCTCGAGCGAGGCGTTCATTTTCACCCCCCTAAGTGGAGCCGCCAGGGGTTATCTCACGGTCCCGTTCGCGGCCGTTTTATGGGAATGTCTCAAGCGGTTTGCTTGTTTTTTGTCCTATTATCCTTCGCTTTCGGAGCAGATTTGGAGGATGTCTCGAGCGAGGCGCTCATTTTCACCCCCCTAAGGGGAGCCGCCAGGGGTTCTCTCACGGTCCCGTTCGCGGCCGTTTTGCGCGGATGTCTCAAGCGGTTTGCCTGGTTTCTGTCCCAACATCCTTCGCTTTCGGAGCAGATTTGGAGGATGTCTCGAGCGAGGCGCTCATTTTCACCCCCCTAAGGGGAGCCGCCAGGGGTTCTCTCACGGTCCCGTTCGCGGCCGTTTTGCGCGGATGTTTCAAGCGGTTTGCTTGTTTTCTGTCCAAGCATCCTTCGTTTTCGGAGCAGATTTGGAGGATGTCTCGAGCGAGGCGTTCATTTTGAGCCGCCAGGGCTTACCTCACGGTCCCGTTCGCGGCCGTTGTATGGGAATGTCTCAAGCGGTTTGCTTGTTTTCTGTCCTACTATCCTTCGCTTTCGGAGCAGATTTGGAGGATGTCTCGAGCGAGGCGCTCATTTTCACTTCCCAGGTGGGCCAGATTTTGAGGATGTCTCGATCGGTGGCCAGACTCGTAGGCACAGATTCTCTTCAGGATGCCACAGGGGGCTCCAACAGGCTCCAGGAGGCCCCAGGGGACCACATGAGGTCCCAGGAGGCATCAGGAGGCCACAGAAAGATTCAAGAGGCCACAGGATGTCCCAAGAGGCTCTAGGAGGCCCCAGGAAGCCATAGGAGGCTTCAGGAAGCCCTAGGAGGCCCCAGGAGGCCAGAGGAAGCGCCAGGAGGCCTCGGAAGGCAACAGGAGGCCCCGAGAGGCCCCAGGAGCAGGAGGCCTCAGAAGGCAACAGGAGTGGCTCCAATTCCATGTGTTTTACGTATGCTCCTATAGATTAGGCCTCACCTGGAGCACGAATCCTTGATGTTATACGTATGTTTCTATATGTTGTCCTTCTCTTGTGTACTTATGTTCCTATAATTAGGGCCTCTCCTGGGGCACGAGTTCTTGGTGTTTTACGTGTGTTCCTATATATTGCCCCCTTCTCCTGTGGCTCCAATCCGCAATGTTTTATGTACGTCTGTTGCTATATATTGGGCCTCCCCTGGGGCACGAATCCTCCCTAGGAGGTCCCAGGAGGCCCTAGGAGGCCCCAAGAGGCTCCTGGAAGCCCCAGGAAGCCCCTCAGTAGGTTTCAGGAGGCCCCAGGAGGCCCCAGGAGGACCCAGGCTCATGCGCAGAGACGCGCTCGTACTACTGAGGCTCATTCACAATTCAATTCATTCTCAGTTAGATTCATGATCAGACCGTCACAGCTGAAGCCCGTTTATATTCGAAAGCTCTTGCGCCTAGACATTCACGGCGGATAGATGCACAAATGGGGAGCTCCACGCAGTGAATAATTTTTGTTTCAAGATCCTGGATCTTCGAGGGTTGGAAGCGGGAAAACGTGAGAAGGCGAACAACATTATCAGAACCATCGAAAATCAACGATTCTACCCTCTCTGGGCTCTCTCGGGACGGCTCTCGCAGCTCGGGCCCGGGGCCTTACTTTCTTTTGTGTGTTTCAATGGTTTCGGCCACCTGGAGCCACCAGAGCACCGGGGGACGTGGCCGGGCGGGCCCCGCCCAGGGACCTCGGCAGCGCATGGGGCGCCTGGGGCCTTCCTTACCATGTTTTTTATACGGTTTTACACGGGGACGTGGCCGGGGTGGGGGGGGGGGTCCCGCCCGGGGACCTCGGCGGGGTATATGTGGGGGGCCCGGGGATTTATTTTCTTTGTGTTTCTTTTACACGGTTTCGGCCATCCAGAGCCACCAGAGCCCCAGGGGACGTGGCCGTGGGGGTCCCGCACATACCCCGGCGGGGCATGGGGGGCCGGTGCCTTATTTTCCCTGTGTTTGTAAAGGGCTTCGGCCACCCGGAGCCACCAGAGCACCAGGGGACGTAGCCGGGCGGGTCCCGCCCATGGACCTCGGCGGGGAATTGGGGGCCCAAGGCCTTCCTTTCTTTTTGTTTCTGCAAGGCTGAGGCGGCCCGGAGCCACCAGAGTCCCAAGAGGTTACAGGGGGCTCCAGGGGTTGCTCCCGCCTGTTGCCCCAGGTCTCCCACAGGCCTCCTAGAGGCCTCCAGGAGAGCCCCCTAAAGCTCACACACTTGGCTTTCCCATCGTTTTTTTTCCCGCTTTTCCCCATGCAGCTGGGTCTGCATCCCCACGCTGTGCCGGCAGCTCCAGGCACTCTTCTGCAGGGGCAGCCAAGACGGCCTCCGGGAGCCCCCACGACGGCCCAAGAGTCCCCGAAGAGGACTCCCAAGAGCGCCTCCAGAAGCAACAATGGCTCCATTTCCTTCGGAAAACGTGCGTTTGTACGATGTTCGCCGCTTCGGCGTCGACCGCGTCGAAGACGGCCCCAGGAGCTGACAAGAATGACCAAAACGGCCAAAGAGAGTTCCAAGAGGCCTCCAAGACAGCTTAAGAGGGGCCCTCGTCGACTGTCCAGGAGGCCCCCAAGACCTTCCCAAAAGGCCCCGGGGGGCTTCTGGGGCACCCCCGAGACAGACCCACACAGCCCCGAAACGCCGCCCGAGAGTCCCAGGAGGTTTCCAAACGTTCACGAGGTCCCAAAATCCTCAAATTGTCGCTCCAACACGCCGACGATGGCTCCAAGACGGCCTCCAGGAGCCCCCACGACGGCCCAAGAGTCCCCTAAGAAGACTCCCAAGAGCGCCTCCAGAAGCAAAAATGGCCCCATCTCCTTTGGAAAACGTGCATTCGTAGGATCTTGGCCGCTTCGGCGTTGACCGCGTCGAAGACGGCCCCAGGAACCGACCAGATTGTCCCAAGACGACCGAAGAGAGTTCCAAGAGGCCTCCAAGACGGCTCAAGAGGGGCCCTCGACTGTCCAGGAGGCCCCCAAGACGGTCCCAGAGGGCCGCGGGACAGCTTCCCCACACAGCCCCGAGGGATACCCCACCCGACATTTCGAGCCATCCTCCCCAAAAAGCACTCCAGAGACCCTAAGAAACCTTCAAGCACCCCCGAAACAAAAACCCAAGCGGGCCCCACGGGGCCGCCAGGAGGCCCCAAGAGGCTCCCAAGAGCCCTCTCCCCAGACGCCCTGAGGTACTCTGGCCGATCCCGAAGCTTCTGGACAACTCTCGGCATCCTGACGCCCCCAAAGGTCCCCAGGACCGCCAAACATTTAGGACGGAACTCCAGGCCTATGGAAATTGTCCGGACCTCGGGGCCACTCCAGGGGTCGTCGACGTCGTCGTCGTCGTGGTGGTGGCGGTCGTCGTCGTCGTGATCGTCGTCGTCGTCGTCGTCGTCGTCGTCGTCGTCTTCGTCGTCACTCGTCGCCGCCACTGTCGTCGTCGACGTCGTCGTCGTCGTCGTTGATGATCACACGAGCGAAAACGAGAGCAGCAAAGCGTGGCGCAGCCGTGTCTAGAACCGAAGCGCGCGCGAAGCGCGCGTGGTTCTAGTATATATATATATATATACACATCTTATATGTATGTACGCGCATATAGACCATGTCGGAGTGTTGGGCCCCCCAGCTCCCCGCGGGACACAATGACAAATGGGTCCACCCCTTGGGCGATCCACTTTCCCCCCGGGGCCTGGGGCCTGTTGGCAGCCCGTTGCGGGCCGGTTTCGCCCCCCGCAGCACTCCAAATGGCCCCACGATGGCCTCCAGACGGCCCAAGAGGCCTCCAAGACGACCCAAGATGATCCCGTTGGTTCAAGGCTCAAGACCTGACGTTGCAAGTCACCCGTCGTTTCATCTTGCTCGTCGGCTGATTTGGCAGATCGCAACCAGTTCTTCGGGGCTGCGATGTTGCTGCTCATCTTGTCTGTGCTAGGGCACCCTGCGATGCTTCTCTTTCACGCGCTCCACTGGTCAGTTGGGGGGTACCCCGAGGCCGTCGTGGGGGAGGTTCTCAAGGGAATACTGCCAGAGTCGGGCCGGGCACACTCGGAGGTGGCTCGTGTCGGGAAAGCCGAGTGGATGGCTTGGTCACCTCCTGACGGTACGTTCGGCGCGAGCCCGCGCCGCATGACGGAATGGAATGATGATTCATCGGGCGAACTCGAGACCCGCATTACGATAGCTGTCATTATTCAGTGGCTGATCGGTCTGATCGTCATGATCGTCTTGACGTATTGTTTCGCATCCAGGTACAAGACATCGATCACTGAGAGGCGTGTGCCGTGGCAGGGCTGCCCTCCCGGTTTAGGCCTCCAGCCCACTGGGGGCATCTGGAAGTACGAGACTTGCAAATGCTTCGACAACTGCGACTACTGCATGTACGGATTTTGCTGTACGTCTTGTCGGGTCGGCGACACCTACACCATGACCAGCGTCGGGCCCAGCTACATGACGTACATACATGCCTACGTGGCAGTCGAGGTGATCGGGCAGGTCGTCAAACTCGTGGTGGCGATTGTCTGGGATGCGTTGGGTTTAGAATCGTCTAACGCGGGTGAACTGGGCAACTTGGGTTTCTACGTCGCGAACGTCTTCATGGCGTATTGGCTCGCGGGGCAGCGCGCGAAGCTGCGCCAGGCGCTCGGGGACCCGCAGCCGGAAACTCACTGCGCCATGGACTTCCTCCTCTACTGGTGCTGTTCGTGCTGCACGGCCATACAGGTAGGGGTAGGGTTCGCATGTGGTCTCCTAACAGGAGGGCAGGCAGGTGGACGAGATCACCAACACCCAGACCAAGTGCTTTCTCCAGCTGCAGCCCCTCCACACGGCGCCCCCGGGGATGCCCCCGACCGTGGTCGGCCAGCCGGTGGGCGCCCCCGCCGCCCCGGTCGTGGGCACGGTGGTGGCAGACCCCAAGCAGCAGCCAGGGGCAACGACAGGGGGGAGGAGGGGGAGGAGGGTGGAGGAGGAGGAGGAGGAAGAAGAATCAGAAGAAGTCGAATCGTAACAATCCCAGTAATAACCATAAAAAAAGATAATACAACGACTAAGAATACTATTGATAATGCTATCAGTAGTATTAAGACGTATCGTAATAATATTATGAAGCGTAATGCGAAGAATAATACTAATATGCAGAATAAGAGCAAACCCCAGTGCGACCCTACCTAGAAGTTGGAGCCCCTAGGAAACCAGCATTAGTTGCTATGCTATGCTATGTCATGCCATGCCATGCTATGCTGCGCTATGCTATACAATATCATGCTGCGCTATGCTATGCTATGCTATGCTCTGCTAAGCTATGCAATGTCATGCTGCGCTGTGCTATGCTAAGCTATGCTAAGCTATGCTAAGCTATGCTAAGCTATGCTATGCTAAACTGCGCTATGCTATGCTATGCTATGCTATGCTATGCTGCGCTGCGCTGCGCTGCGCTATGCTATGCTATGCTATGCTTGGCTATGTTATGCTATGCTATGCTATGCTATGCTAATGCAGCGCTGCGCTATGCTATGCTATGCTATGCTATGCTATGCTAAGCTGCGCTATGCTGTGCTACGCTATGCTATGCTCTGCTGTGCTCTGCTATGCTAAATATCGGCGAAGCTAAGATGAAGGTAAGCTAAGCTAAGACAAACCTGAGCTAAGATGAAGCTAAGCTAAGCTAAGATGAAACATGCTAAGCTAAGATGAGATAAGCAACGCTAAGCTAAGGGAACGTCACTGGGGGAACCGCGGGGCGGATACTGGGGGAACCGCCCGGGGCGTTTTCCACTGCCCGGCCCTTTAAGCCAACACGGTAAGAACCCTTCTAGGCAGAGCCTAGGTAGGGAATTAAAGACACTACCCATAATACGGATGATACTACGACGAAAGTGTTACGACTAATACGAACAACATTACTATTAATACGACGAAGACACACAATACTTATAATAATACTTAACAGCTGATGCGACGAATGCTAATACTACTCGTATGAATAATAAGAAGAAGACGAATAATACTACCAATGCGAATAACCACAAACATAATGATAATACTAAGACTGATCATACTAACACTAGGACTACACATAATACGAATAATAATAAGACTATCGCGAACGCATAATAATAGCACTCATCTTCATACTAATAAGATGAATAACACTAATCATAAGAATCGCGAACGCATAATAATAGCACTCATCTTCATACTAATAAGATGAATAACACTAATCATAAGAAGGATAGGGGGAGGAGGAGGAGGAGGAGGAGGAGGAGGAGGAGGAGGAGGAGGAGGAGGAGGATGAGCGGGATGAGGAGGAGGAGGAGGAGGAGGAGGAGGCGGAGGAGGAGGAGGGAGGAGGGAGGAGGAGGAGGAGGAGGACGGGGGAGGGGGAGGGGGAGGGGGAGGGGGAGAGGAGGAGGAGGGGGATCTGGAGGAGGAAGAGGGGGAGGAGGACAAGCTAGGTGCGCTTGCGTCATATCTGCCATCCTACCCCTCCCTCCCATCCCTTACCATGGCGCAGAGCCCCTCTCTACTCGCACAGTCGGATGTCGAGCAGGGCAATGATCCCGATAGGGTACGCGATGCATTGTAGAGCACGGCATGGCATGGCGTAGAAGAGCGCCGCGAAGCGTAGTATCAACTTAGCATTGCATTGCATGCCGTGGCATGGCGCGGGAAATGACGCCAGCGCTGCAGCGGGAGCACGAGTCGAAACGAGCGGAAGCGCGGAAATGAGGCCAGCGCTGCAGCGGGAGCACGATTCGGAACGAGCGGAAGCACGCCGGAATCGGCCCGGGAGGCTTCCCGGGCGCCAGAAGCAGAAATTCAGCATTTCCACAAAGAAACATGTGTGTTGGAATGGCCTTTTTTCGGCGCCGCCTCGGAACTCGATTTTCCGGCGCCGGCCGGAACCGGCTCCGGACCCGGCCCGGGCGCCCGCCCCGGCGCCAGCTCGGGCGTCCGGCCCGGGCGCCGGCTTGGGCGCCAGCCCGGGCGTCGGAATCGGCCCTGGAGGCCTCCCGGGCGCCGGAAGCAGAAATTCAGCATTTTTAAAAGAAAAGTGTGTGTTGGAATGGCCTTTTTCCGGCGCCGCCTCGGGACTCGATTTTCCGGCGCCGGCCGGAACCGGCTCCGGACCCGGCCCGGGCGCCCGCCCGGGTGCCAGCTCGGGCGTCCGGCCCAGGCGCCGGCTTGGGCGCCAGCCCGGGCGTCGGAATCGGCCCTGGAAGCCTCCAGGGCGCCGGAAGCAGAAATTGAGCATTTTCAAAAGAAAAATGTGTATTAGAATTTTTCGGCGCCGCCTCGGAACCCCATTTTCCGGGGGCGGCCGGAACCGGCTCCGGACCCGGCCCGAGCGCCGGCCCGGGCCCTGGCTCGGGCGTGCAGCCCGGGCGCCGGCGGCAATGATGCCAGCGCTGCAGCGGGAGCGCGATTCGGAACGAGCGGGGCCCGAAAGTGAGGCCGGTGCCTCAGCGAGAGCAGCATTTTGGAAAAAATGCAGGCGAAAACCCAATTCCAGGGAAACCTGTGTGTAAAAAACAGTACGCGGGGGGGGGCGAACACTCCCAAGACGTCATCGGGGGAAGAGGGAGAGTAGTATTCATATTGAGTAATTGTGGAGGAGGAGGAGGAGGAGGAGGAGGAGGAGGAGGAGGAGGAGGAGGAGGAGGAGGAGGAGGACGAGGCGGAGGAGGAGGAGGAGGAGGAGGAGGAGGAGTAGGGGGAGGAGGAGGAGGAGGAGGATAGGCATAGGGGGGGGGTGCATCGACCCCTGCCGCCCATTGATCGCCGATAGGGGCCCGGCAGCCCCAACCTGCCCAGGAAGGTGCGGATTCACTATCGGAGGCCCACCGCCGATCCATCGGCGATGTACCGCCGATTCCAGGTCGACGCATCCCACCCTATGCCAGTCACCCACCATTGCAGGCGATCGCACACATGGATCAATGGGGGCGTGGATTGGCGACGGGTCCCGTGTCCATGGATCATCGCGGACTTCCGCCGCCGAGCGGGGCGGCACCGGCCGCATTTTGGTGAGGGCACTTCCCCCGGTCCGTGTTTGCGCGCCCCCGACTCTGGGGCCCTCGGGGCCGCATCCGGGGGACCTCCGGAGACTTCGACTACCAAGTCACCAGGGGCGGTCACCAGGTCGCCCAAGAGGCCTCCGAGAGGCCTCCAAGACTCGGAGGTCTGCGCGCCCTCGACTATCGTTGCCCCTGAAAGCAGCAGTACGGCGGGGCAAACTACGGGAACGTCGCCACGTGAGCCAGCGCGGCGTGGCCGTCCAGGAGTCGAGCAGGTTGGCCTCCGACCGTCGGGCAGGCCGCGGCACTTCACGGCGGGGGAGGCTGCAGGAGCGCCCTGTGCAGGGACCGAGCAGATGTGCAGCCCCCCTCCTTCCTCCTCCCCCTTCCTCCTCCCCCTCCTCCTCCGGCTCCTCCTCCTCCTCCTCCTCCTCCTCCTCCTCTTTCTCCTCTTTCTCCTCCCCCTCCTCCTCCTTCTCCTCCTCCTCCTCCTCCTCCTCTTCCTCCTCCTCCTTTGCTCCTCTTCCTCCTCCTCCTCCTCCCCCTCCTCCTTTTCCTCCCGTCCTCCTCCTCCTCCTTCTTCCCCTCTTCCTCCTCTTCCTCCTCCTCCTCCTCCTCCATCTGGGAAGTGGTCTGGATCCAGTGAAAAGGCTGGCCAGCTCCATCGTACAAGTACAGGCCGAATTTTTGCCATACTTCACTCAATTTGTCATGGGGGCGTCTTCGCCAAAGGTCTTGGCATTACGCAAGCACGCGACGGATCCCTATCTGTTTTTGACAACGATACTCTCTTGAGCTGCGTGGCTATGTTCACCAGCTTTATTATGGGAGACATTACGTAGTCAAGCGCTGCAAGGTGCGCGAGCGCACGTGGTGAAAAAAACGACCCAAGACGACCCAAGACCGCCCCAAGAGCGCTCCAGGACGCTCAAACTGGCCTTAAGGCAGGCCGAAGGACGCCCAGAAAGCTCTAGCGTGCTCCCAGACACCCCTCATTAGGGCCTCAAAGGGGCTGAAATCACAGCATTTCCGCGGGAAGCGCACTTGTTTACTACATGTGCGTTTTCGATTCGAGAGCGTCCCCATACGGTCCAGAGGCCCCCCAAGATTACGCTTCCGATGAGCATTTCCTCCTCCTCTTCCTCTTTCCTCCTCCCCAGGAGCCGCCGCCGATCGCGGCTAAACGTGATATTCACATGGTTTGGCTTTTGGGCTCCAAGCGCACAAGCGCTCAGGCGTGAAGCAAAGATCGTCTCGATCGGAACCGGCCTTCGTGGCTAAACGCGGTTTTGACATGGTGTGGTGACGTCAGCCCGGCCTGCCACCTGTGGAGAGAGGAAACAAAAGAAGGCTTCCGGATGGTTCCCAAATGACCCAGGAGAGCCCCCGGGACGCGGGAGGACATGCTGGTACTAGGCGTCCTCCCTGGAGGCGCACGTCCGACGGGAAGCTATGGTACAACCGTCCTGCAGCAACAGCTCGTTACCCAGTAGGTAAAGACATGAAGTAGGATCGGCGCCACCCCAACATATTTGTGCTATGTGTGCCTCCTCCTCCTCCTCCCCCGTCTTCTCCTCCCTCCTCCTGGGTGTTTGCTCAGCGCTTGTTGTCTCACCTGCCTGTCTATAGTGCCACACGCTCGGCGCTCGCAGCTTGCCCTCCATTGCCTGCTGCGTGCTCGCGCTCGCCGAGGGGTGATCGGCGGGATGGCGACGTCGGTAGGGGTGGCCAGTCTCCGGATTCCCGACGACTTTTTTTTTTTTTTTTTTTTTTTTTTTTTTTTTTTTTTTTTTTTTTTTTTTTTTTTTTCCGGACGGGGACGATTGCCACTCGCCCCCCGTGGAGGGTGGGACGCTCAAGGGAACATTTGTACTGTACGTGCGTCGCCCCCCAGGGGCGACGCGCGCACCGAGAAATCTTCTAGTATATGCGTGGTTGCGGGCGCTTTCTGGCCACGCCGCTCGGGAAACGACATACTGCAATATGCGTATACTGTATGTTCGGGTCGGGCGCGCGCCTCCCTGGAGGACGTATCGTGTTAGTATGTTCCTGTGCGTCCCATAGAGACATGAAGTGGGAAGGAAGCGGATCCCTGAAGGGCCCCCACGGCCCCAAGACCGCTCCAGAGCTTCCCGAGACGGCTCCAGAGGCCTCCCCGGATTGCCCCAGACGGCTTCCGAAGGCGTCCGACTGGCCAAGGGCGGAAGCCCTCGAGGACCCTCGGAGGCGCCAAGAAGCGCCCAAGAGGCTCTCGTCAGGCCCTCAATGGCTCCCCAAGAGGCCCCAAAGAACAGCCCTCGAGGATTCAGAGGCTCCAAGAAGCGTGCAAGAGGCTCTCGTCAGGCCTTCAATGGCTCCCCAAGAGGCCCCAAATAATGGCCCTCGAGGACCCTCGGACGCTCCAAGAAGCGCCTCAGAGGCTCTCGATTGGCCCTCAATAGCTCCCCAAGAAGCCCCAACGAGGCTCCCAAGGCTCTCACGAGACGCCCAAGTCCACCTAAAACCGAAGGGCAACCACACACGCCACACCATTCCACAAGATAGCCCCAGCACGGAACGGTACGCACTCCTCCTCCTCCTCCTCCTCCTCCTCCTCCTCCTCCTCCTCCTCCTCCTCCTCCTCCTCCTCCTCCTCCTCCCCCTTGCCATCGTCGTCGTCGTCGTCGTCGTCGTCGTCGTCGTCGTCGTCGTCGTCGTCGTCGTCGTCGTCCTCGTCTCCGTAAGGTTCGCATCCGGAAGACGTTCGCGCGAGGAGCGTTCGCCTTGTGGGCCTCTTGGCTCCCGTGCCCTCTGGCTTCCTGGCCTCGCACAGCCTGGGCGCCTGTGGCGCGGCGGGTCTCGCGGCGTGCGCCCGCGTGCCCCGCGGCCGCGCGCCAAGGGCGCGGCGGGCGGGCTCTCACGGCCGTGCGCGGCAGGGCAGCAGGTGGTTCTCACGGCCGTGAGCTGCGCAAGCAGCAGGTGGTGAGGGGCCTGCTCTCCACCGCACCACCATAAGTTGGAGGGGCAGGGGGTCCTCCTCCTCCTCCTCCTCCTCCTCCTCCACCTCGACCTCCTCCTCCTCCTCCTCCTCCTCCTCCATTCCCTCCTCCCCCTCCTCGTCCTCCTCCTTCCCCCCCTCCAACCTATGGTGGTGGTGGTGGTGGTGGTGGTGGAAAATTGAACCATCAGGTGGTCTCTTTCCTTCCTGTAAGCATGGCTGGTCGGTTGATTGGTTACGCGCGGGAGCGCGCCAGAGGGCTCTGCTGTCATGTTGTTCTCCGTTGGTTGGTTGGTTGACTGGTCGCCGCGTCCGACGTCGCACGGGAGTCACACACTGGTCCTGCGCGCGTGGCTGTGCACATGAGTGTGCTGCTGAGGAGGGTCCATGCCTGGTTGGGCCGTGCTGCTGCAAGGCCCGTGCCCCTATGACGGCCTCCGCAGGCCTGGGCGGTGCACTCCCGTTGCGGGGGGGATCGCGGGCGGGTGGGGTCTCTGCTTTTCCCCTGAACAGCGCCTCGGTTGGGAACGCCTTTCCCGCCAGGGGCTCTCGCCGGATGGTGCCGCCGCACCTGTCGCCACGTCTCTGTCGTCCGTTCGTTGCCCTCCTGGCTCGGGCCCTGCGCGTTAAGGCTCTGCCGCGAGTGTTTCGGTGGGCTTGCTGCGCGCCGGCATGCGCTCAGCATCGCGTCAGCCCGGGTGGGCGAGTGGTTTTGGGCGGTGGGCCATTTCCGTGGCCCGTCGCCCGGCGACGGGGCGGGCCATTCGTGCCCCGTCCCGTCGCCCGCGACACCTCGCCTCATCCAAGGGTGTCCCGAGGCACCCCCCCGGCTGCGAGACGCGGTCAAGGGGACGTGCCCGGGAGGGCATCCAAGGTTGAAGTCGCGGTGTCCCGAGCAGGTGCCCCCCCCGCCGCGAAACGCGGTTAAGGGGGTAGTGCCCGGTGGGCGCTCAAGGTTGAAGCCGTGGTGTCCCGAGTCGCCCTCCCCCCTGGCCGCGATACGCGGTTATAGGGAGGGGCCCAGGGGGGGCTCAAGGTTGAAGCCGTGGTGTGCCGAGGCGCCCCCCGGCCGCGAGATGCGGTCAAGGTGAGGTGCGGGGGGGGGGCGCTCAAGTTTGTAGCCGTGGTTTCCCGAGGCGCCCCCCTGGCCGCGAGTCGCGGTCAAGGGGAGGCGCCTAGGGGGCGTTCAAGGTTGAAGCCGCGGTGTGCCAGTGCCTTCTCACCACGTGTGTCAGATTGTTCGCGTCCGTGCAGCCGAATTCATAGACCGTTCAATCAATATACGCCCCGAGCGAAACACTCAACACGATACCCGCAGGCATTCGTATGTATATATGTCTGTATGTAGATACTATGTATAGGTGCATGCATATATTCATACATGTACTCATACATACATTCATACATGTACTCATGCATGCATGCATGCTTGCATGTATGCATGTATGTATGCCGCATGTATGCGAGTTTATGTATGAATACCTGACTATACATTTATACGCATATTCACGTGTACATGTATGTATGCATGCATGCATAATCGTATGCATGTAGGCATGTATGTATGTATGTATGTATGTATGTATGTATGTATGTATGTATGTATGTATAGATACATGTGTGTATGTATGCATGTATGTATAAACATATGGATGTATGCATACATGCATGTACGCATTTCTGTATTCTGTATGTATGCATGCATCCATGACTGTATCTATGCATGCATGTATGTATGATGCATGTATGTAGATATGTATGCAGACATGCACGCATGTAGGTATGCATACATGTATGCATGTATGCATGTATGCATGTATGCATGCATGCACGCATGTCTGTATGCATGCACGTATGCATGTATGTGTGCACGTTTGTATGTTTGCATGTACTGTATGTATGTATGTATGCATGCGTGCGTGCGTGCGTGCGTGCGTGCGTGCCTGCGTGCATGGGAATATTGCGCACCCTCGGCCGCCCTCGCCACGTAATGGCAACGGGGACACCGCTTCCTCCCTGCTGCCGGCTTCGGACGCTGCGAGAGGCCCTTTCGACCCCAAGACGTGTCGGAATCGCTGCTCGGGGTCTCGAGTCGGCGCCCGCGCAGCTCGCCCCTTCGATTTCGCCGAATTTCTGTACGCTTCGAATAACAGTTCTGGACGCTTCGCATATCCCCACCAGCCCATCTAGAAACGATGTCCAGGCGAGTTGGGGGGATCAGGGAAGTGCGGGAGCAAGGAGGGGGAATGCCCAACCGTGCGAAGGAGGGTGGAGGAGAAGGAGGAGGCTTGATGAATGGATGAGGGAGTGGGGAGAAGGAGGATTAATAGGATGAGGAGGAGGAAGAGGAGGAGGAGGAAGAGAAGGAGTAGGAGCAGGAAGGAGGAGCAGGAGGAGGAGGAGGGCATGCGAAAGGGCCAGAGGTCTCTTGGATTTCTCTCGGAGCCTCTTGGGATACCTCGTGGGCGCTCCTCGGGGGCCTCTTGGGACGTCTTTGCGGTCTCTTGGCGGTCCTGGGGGACTCTTGGGCGTTTTGGGTGCCTCGGGGGGGCTTCTTGCGTCCGCTTGGGGTCCTCTTGGGGGCCTCCTGGAGGCCTCTTGGGGGCATCTTGGTGCCATCTTGGGGCAATCTTGGGGCCTCTTGGTGCCTCCTGGGCGCCTCTTGAGGGCCATCCTCGAGGTCATCGACGAAAGCAGAGGGACGTTTTTTATTGTTAGCGCTCCCCCTCGGGAGCCTAAACGTCGCCTCTTGGGGCGCTCGTGGGGCGCTGTTGGAGCGCCCTTGGGCGCTCGTGGGGCCGCCTTGGAGCTCTCTCGGGACTCCCTCGGGGCTCTGTTGGGCCATCTTGGAGCCTTCTTGAGGCCTCGGAGAGCTACCGGAAGCGAAACGGCGAGAAGGCAAGATCATTGGTTTGCCCTAGGCGTTGGAATGATTTTGGCCTCTTGTGGGCCTCCTGGGAGGTCTCGGAGGCCTCTTGGAACCGTCTTGGAGCGGTCTTGGGGCCTCTTGGAGCATCTTGGGAGCCATCTTGAGGCATCTTGGGCTATCTTCAGCCATCTTGGAGGTCATTTTGGGGTCTCTGAGGCCCTCTTGGAGCCGTCTTGGGCCATCTTGGACGCTCTGACCGCTCGCGGACCCCCCCGTCAAGGTCCAGGGGAGAGGGTAGGGAGGAGGGGTAAACCCGCACCCGAAGGGGAAGAAGGGTTGGACGAGGAAACTCCCTAAACCACCTACAGTCGGGGCCCTGAAGAAGGAACCCTTTTCGTTGGGGAGGGGCTCGGTGTTCCTTGCTTGTTCTGCAGTGTACCTTCGGTTCTCCGGAGGTTTCCCAGGGGAAATCGAAGGTCAACTCATGGGAGAAAGGGGCCTCGTTTCTTATTTGGGGTTCCTTAGGTCAACGCCCCGACTGCACACCTCAGGCGATGCTTAAGAAAACTTAAGTTTTCGGCCAGAGTCTCGATTATTCTTAACGTTTCAATGTAAATCTTAAGATCTTGATAGAAATCTTGGGTTTTTGTTCAAGTTCTGAGACTATGAATTTCTTAACCCATGATTTCTTAAGCATTTCGTAGGGTGTACGCCCTCAAGGGCTGGTGGGATTCCAAATGTCTCCCCGAGGCCCCCGAGACGGCCCCAGGAAGGCTCCGGCAGGCCCAGGAGGCGCCCCAGACGACCCGAGGGGGCTCCAGCTCCACAGCGCGGAAGAGCGTGGAGGCGCGAGATCCCCGCAGCGATTGTTTCGTTGGCCGCCCAGATTTCGCTGGCTGCCCCTTGGAACACGTCACTCCAAAGTACCCCTTCCAGACAGTTGCGGGACATTCTCGGGCACTTTACTTGGGCACGTCTGCGGTTTGGTAGAATTCAGAAGCACCGTTGTACCATCGGGGCCCTTCGGATCCAGGGAGCCTACCTGAATTCACGAGTCTTTCGGTCAACATTTTTGTGGCACACGTGGACACACTTGCAAGTGAAGCACGACGACGATGAAGAGGAATCTGGGGATGAGGACGACGAGGGCACAGAGGGGCAGGAGGGGACGGTTCGAGCGGGCAAAAGGAGGAGACTTGAAACTAGCCCTAAAGAGGACGCGGGAGAGGCGGATGAGGAGGAGGAGGTCCCACAGGGAATGATGAGGATGAGGAGAAGTCGGAAACGAGAGAGAAGGACGAGGAGGAGCAGTGGAAGGAGGAACAGAAGAAGGAGTGGGTGGGAGGATCAAGGGGTGCCTGTGGTGAGGCTTTCATCCTTGGCCCTCGGAGCGTGGCCTTGTCATTGTTGTCGCAATGTTCGTTTCATGCGCACGTGTGGACACATGCGTACCAATCTTGCGCGCATATATGTTTGTTGTGTAGCCACATCTGTGTATATATACATATATATACATATATATATATATATACATCATGAGTGGCGCCCCCCGGACTGGGGGCCATACATATCGCAATCACCTTCAGCATTTTTTGATACCCACTACTCGAGGGCCTTCAGGAGGCCTCAAGACGGCCCAAGAGGCTTTCCAGACAGCCTACGATACCCCCAAGACGGCCTGAAGGAGGCCCAGGAGCACTTTGAGACGAGCCAAGAACGCTCCAGAGCGCTCAAAATGGCCTCACTCAACATGGCCCAAGGGGCCCGCAAGACGCCCCAAGAGAGCTCCCAGCGCGTCCCCAAGAGGACCTCAGGAGGCCAAGCATATAGATGTTCCATAGGTGTTGTAAGGAGTTTATCGTTGTCGCCTTTGATAGCTTCAACTGCCCAAGGCAGCCCAAGACGCCTTCTGAAGAGTCCCAAGAGAGCGTCAAGACGGCCCCAGATGGCCCCCAGACGGCTCAAGAGGACCCCACGACGGCCCAGTAAGCCCCGATGACAGTGCAAGAGGGCCCCAAGGGGGGCCTAAGAGGGGGAACCCGAGCTGACATTTCGAGCCCTCCGCCCCAAGGTGAGCCCCGAGACCGCCAAGAGGCCCCCAAGATGCTCCTCAGAAGCCCCGAAGAGGCGCCAACAGGCTCCCAGAATGCTCAATCGAGAGCCCAATGATGCCCCGAATGGCTTCAACACTGCTTAGCGAATAATCCTCCAAGAGGCGTCCCAAGAGATCCATACGTTTCCAATGCGCCGCTTGCTCGTCCCTCCGTCGCTCTTCGTTATCCCTTATGTTTTCTTTCCGCTTCGTGGGCTTCCTCTTTATCCCGCTCCGCGTATCTCTCTTTCCCTACTTCCTCCCACGCCACGCTTCCCGCCTAACCAAATTGAAGGCGGCTCCCATGTGAAAAGCACGGAATTGCCCACATCCCGTTTTCTTCAAGTTGTCTCTCCTTCGTTTCTTTCGGCTGGCGCGAGCATGTTCCACAATGCGTCTCCTCCTGCTCCTCCCTCTCTCGCGCTTCGTTGCTCCCTCTCTCTTTTTCTTCTCTTCTTGGGCTTCCTTTTTTTCTCCTGTCCCACTATCTCTCCTTCACTCCTTCCTCCCTTGCCTCGCCGAACTAAATCAAAACGGTGCCCCTTACTTGAGCACGCAACCATATATACATATATATACACATTTATATACACATACAAACATACATACCTACATACATACATGCATACATACATACATACATACATACATACACACATACATACCTACATACATACATACATACATACACACATACACACGTACACACATACATACATACATACATACATACATGCATGCATGCATGCATACATACATACACACAACCATACATACATACATACATACATACATACATACATACATACATACATACATACATACATACACATATACACACATACACACATACATTCATACATTCATACATTCATACATACATACATACATACACATACATACATACACACATACATACAAACATGCATACATACATACATCCATACAACCATACAACCCTACATACATACATACATACATGCATGCATGCATGCATGCATACATACATACATACAAACATACATACATACATACAGACAGACAGACAGACAGACAGACAGACAGACAGACATACATACATACATCAATACACACATACATACATACACACATATATATATATCTATATATATATATATATATATATATATATATATATATATCCGTAAGGGCTTCGCCCCCTGCCGCTGGTCCCCTCTCTCGGAGAATGGGCCATGGAAGAGCGAAGTCATGAGGCTTTGGCTTGAAAGTGAAGCAGCGTCGGAGCTTCATGCGAAGACGATGGGTAATTGGCAAGACGACTGGAGATTGCGAGTCTATTGTTGTACTCGCTGTTGTATGAATTTCAGGAATGTGGCAAATCCCATATGTTTTTGGACCCTGACCCCGCCGATCTGCGTGAGGGATGCCGCCAAATTTCAGAAATGTTGCAAATCCTATATGTTTTTGGACCCTGACCGTGCCGATCTGCGTGAGGGGTGCCACCGGATTTCAGAAATGTCGCAAATCCCATGCGTTTTTGGACCCTGACCGTGCCGATCTGCGTGAGGGGTGCCACCGAATGTCAGAACTGTAGCAAATCTTTTGTGTTTTTGGACCCTGGCTCCGCCGATCTGCGTGAGGGGTGCCGCTGATTTTTCAGAAATGTAGCAAATCTCATGTGTTTTTGCACCCTGACCCCGCCGATCTGCGTGAGGGGCGCCACCGAATGTCAGACATGTAGCAAATCCCATGTGTTTTTGGACCCTGACCCCGCCGATCTGCGTGAGGAGTGACACCCAATTTCAGAAATGTGCCAAATCCCATGTGTTTTTGGACCCTGACCCCGCCGATCTGTGAGAGGGGTGCCGCCGATTGTCAGAAATGTGGCTAATCCCTTATGTTTTTGGACCCTGACCCTGCCGATCTGTGTGAGGGGTGCCACCGGATTTCAGAAATGTAGCAAATCCCATGTGTGTTTGCACCCTGACCCCGCCGACCTGCGTAAGGGGTGCCACCGGATTTTGACAAGGTGGCGAATCCTATGTGTTTTTGGACCCTGACCGTGCCGATCTGCGTGAGGGGTGCCACCGGATTTCAGAAATGTAGCAAATCTTTTGTGTTTTTGGACCCTGACCCCGCCGATCTGCGTGAAGGGTGATACCGGATTTCAGAAATTTGGCACATCCCTTGTGTCATTGGACCCTGAGCCCTCCGATCTTCGTGAGGGGTGTAAATTTTGACCCACACCAGGAATTCAGACAATACGATTTCTCTGTAGTAAAAATGCCCGTTTTGGGCCTCCCCCCCTCGCGCGGTCCATCAACAAGGAACAGTAAGCAGCAAGAAGTCAACAAGGAACAGTAAGCAGCAAGAAGCAGATTTGTAACAGTGGAAACTGGAAGCTGCAACTGGTGCAGGAAACTGCGAACCTCCGGCCTACAGCCTGGTGGCCCCACGAGGGGGCCGGTGGATATATATATATATATATATATATATATATATATATATATATATATACACCACGTTTTTTCCAACCATCCTGTAGAGTTGGGTCCTCGTTTGGAAGAGACAGCGCCCCGCGTCCTCCCTCCTCCTTCCTCCTCCCCCTCCTTCTCTTCCCTCCTCCCTCCTCCCTCCTCCCTCGTCCCTTCCCTGCCAGTCGCTGCGGCAGCTCGAGGTGTTCGGATGCAGGCCCTGGGGAGCCCGCGTCGCCTCCGCGGTGGCGCGACCAGGGGCGGCGCCCCCCGGGAACTTAGAGCACGCGCTCCGAGGGTGGCAGCCGGGCGGTCTGGGGCTCCCTCTCTTGCAGCGCGGACTTGGACAGTCTACAGCAGGAAGCAGAAGGCAGGGCTGCAACGCCGGAGACTGGAAGCTGCAACTGGTGCAGGGAGCACCACCCCCCTTGGACCTACAGCCTCGTGGCCTCACAAGGGGACTCGCGGATATGTGCTGCGATACAGTGTTATGTCGTGGTGTGCTATGCCATGTTGTGACATACTCTGCTATGACATGTTCTGCCATGGCATGTGCTTGTATGTTCTGACATGTTATGGTCTGTGTGTTCCGATCTGTCATTACATGCGTTGATATGCTGTGTTGTGCTATGACATGCTATGCTATGTTATGTGAGACTGTGTCATGTTCTGCGTTGGTATGTTGAGTTATGAGATGCTGTCTGCTGGTATGTTGTTTTATGATGCTGTGATGAGGTATGCACTGCCCTGTCATGGTATGTTATGTTACGATATGTCATACCATGATATGGTATGTTACGCTCGGATCTGTTATGCTGAGGTGGTTTGGTGTTTATGCTGTTTTCTGTCATAGCTTATCGTGTTGTGCTGTGCAGCGTTCTGCTGTTTTCCTGGGGATCTGTTGGCCGCGGCATGCAGAGTTGGCCGGGCGAGGCCGAAGTCTCATGGGGCACTCGGGAGCCCGGGGACGTGGCGGCCGCGGCATGCCGTGTGGCGCGAGGCGGGACTCGGGGGTGACCGGGAGCCTGCGGACCTGGTGGCCGCGGCACGCGGAGTGGCGCAAGGGCGGGGCTCTCGGGGACGCTCGGGAGCCCGGGGATCTGGCGCCCGCGGTCTGCAGAGTGGCGCGCGGCGGGAGGCCCGTCTTCGAGATCTGACGGCCCCAACCTGTCGGGTGGGGGAGCAGCCTCCCTCCTCGCCCCCTCCGTGAGCGCAGCCGGGCCTCGTCGCCAAGGGGACGTTGTGGGGGTCCCTCCCTCCTCCTCCCGCCCCCCTCGTCTTACGTCGGGCATGTCCCCCTCTGCGGGAGGCATCTGCAAAAACGGTCAACAGATAGCCCGGGGACGATCCTGTGACAACTCTTGGCTATTCCGGAGCATCTTGGGCTACTTTGGAGTATTGGACTATTCGTCCGAGACCCGCCCGTGGGGGGACACGCCCGACCCAACCCTCGTCCCTTCCTACTCCCTCCCGGAGGAGGAGGAGGAGGAGGAGGAGGAGGAGGAGGAGGAGGAGGAGGAGGAGGAGTAGGAGGAGGAGGATGCAGAGGAGGAGGAGGAGGAGGAGGAGGAGAGGAGGAGGAGGCGGAGGAGGAGGAGGCGAGAGGAGGAGGAGGGGGAGGAGGCGGAGGAGGAGGAGGAGGAGGATGAGGACGAGTAGGAGTAGGAGTAGTAGGAGTAGGAGTAGGAGTAGGAGGAGGAGGAGGAGGAGGAGGAGGAGGAGGAGGAGGAGGAGGAGGGGAGGAGGAGGAGGAGGAGGAGGATGAGGAGCGCCCCTCCTGGGCGGGGGCGCCTCGGCGCCGGGGCGCGGTGCCGAGCCCCCCCCCCACGCCCTCCGCCTGCAGCGGTGGCGGCGGCCGTGTCCGCCTTCAACCACTCCGACCTGAACGGCAGCATCATCAGGAGGGGAGGGGCGCTCCTCCTCCTCCTCCTCCTCCTCCCTCCTCCTCCTCCTCCTCCTTCATTCCCTCCTCCTCCTCCTCCTCCTCCTCCATTCCCTCTTCCTCCTCCTCCTCCTCCTCCTCCTCCTCCTCCTCCTCCTCCTCCGCCTCCTCGTCCTCCTCCAATTCCTCCTCCCGGGCGCTCCCAGGCGCTCCCGGGCGCTTCCGGGAGCGCTCCCGAGTGCCCCCCAAGCGCTCCCAGGCGCTCCTCCAGGCGCTCCCAGGAGCTCCCAGGCGCTCCCATGTGCTTCCAAACGCTCCGGAAGGCGGAGGGAGCGGGCCCGCTTCGCTAGAAGCTTCGACGACCGATGCGGGACGGGCATTTTGGACGGTCCGTCGGGTTCATCGCCCCCGTGCGAGCCTCGATGGGGTTCCTGACGTGGGCGCCTTTGGGGGGCGACCTGGCTGGAACCCGTTTCCCAGAGCTTTGGCCACTGGCTCTTCCGCCGTCTGAGTGACGCTATCCATTACGACTGCGGCGAGTGACCGCCGTCCCTGCCTTTTGGAAGCGCTTGAGGCGTGAAGTATCCAGCGAAAGTGCGGCCACGCTTGTGTTCGCGTGTTCTCCTAGTTGTTGGGGAAACCATTGGGGGAACGCTGGGGAGGGCCCCCCTGTGGGCTATCCTGGGGCTTTTTCATGCCTTTTGGATCTTCTTGGGGTCCTGGGGCCCTCTTGGGCAATTTTATGGACCATCTGGGCTGTCTTAGGGCGCTCTTGGACAGTCTGTCGCCTTCAGGGGCTGTCTTGGAGGCATTTTTGGGATCTGTTTGGGTTTTTTTTTTGGTGCGTGTAGGGCCGCCTTGGCGCTATCTTGGCTGTCTTGGGGGCAGTTTCGGGCCGCCTTGCGGCATCTGTGGCCGTCCTGGGGTCCTACTGTTTTTGTTGGGCCGTCTTGTGTTGTTCGTGGCAGAAAACGAGAACCCGGGCGAGAATTCAGAAACTTTTGATAACACAACAGGAAACCATTGTTTTTTCCCGTCGAGGCCTTCCTGGTCGACGTCATTGAAGTTTCTTGCGCCGCTCTCGGGGCGTCTTGGGCACCAACACTGCATTGTAAAACTCGGCACGCCAAGTCGCCCTGGATAACTCAATGGGGGTGGTGGATCGAAGACGCCTTGAGTCAACCCGCATTCTAAGGACGAACAACTTTCGAAGATTACCCTTGCATCTTTCCCCTTCGGCCTAACCTTGGCCGCTTTCGCAGGCCGCTTTCGCAGGCCGCTTTCACTGGCCGCGCCCCGCTCGCAAAGTGTCGATATGGCCTCCCTAGGCCCATGCATCATTACCGCGTATCCTTATTCTACGGGTTGACTGTACGGCGCACTCCCGCCGCCCCCGACCTTTGTAAACATGTCTGTTGTGGTCGCAACTATTGGACGAGGTGTTCCCCCAGTCGTTGTGGGAACCCATGGGAAAACATTTGGGGAAGGAGAAGAGAGGATGAGGAGAGTGATGAAGAGGAGAAGGGTGAGGAGGAGGAGGAGGAGGAGGAGGAGGAGGAGGAGGAGGAGGAGGAGGAGGACGAGGACGAGGACGAGGACGAGGAGGAGGACGAGAGGAGGAGGGAGGAGGAGGAGGAGGAGGAGGAGGAGGAGGAGGAGGAAAAGGACGAGGAGGAGGAGGAGGAGGAGGCGGATGAGGAGGAGGAGGAGGAGGAGAGGAGGAGGAGGAGGAGAAGGAGCATATGATGCGGATAGGGGAGGGCGCTGGGGGCCCTGGGGGCCTCCTTGGGGCCTCTTGGGGCTCTTGTGGGACCTTTCTGGGGGCCTCTTGTGGGACCTTCTGGGGGCGTCCCAGGGGACCCCTTGGGATTGGGAGGCCGCCTTGATGGCCTCACTGGGCGGGCTTAGCGGCCCTCTGGGACGCTTGAGGGCCGTCTTCGGGGTCTCTCGGTCCGTCTCGGGGCCTCTGTCGTGGCATCTGGGGCGCCTGTGATTCTCCTTAGAGGCCTCTTGGACTGTCTTCGGCTATCGGAAGCCCGCGAAGGCGAGAACGTTAACATCTTTGAAAGAGCGTGTTCTACCGCTGCTGGCGGAAAACCGGGGGGGGTCACTACCGGTTCGAACCCCTCCCCCCCCCCCCCCTCCGGAAAACCGGGGGGGGTCACTACCGGTTCGAACCCCTCCCCCCCCCCAGCTCATCATGAAAAGAGGGGGGGTCACTACCGGTTCGAATCCCCCCCCCCCCTCGAAAACCGAGTGGGGGTGCGGACAGTGGTGGGGACGGTGTTGGTGGGGACAGTGGCGAGGGGACAGCGGGACAGTGGTGGGGACAGTGGGACAGTGGGACAGTGGTGGGGACGGTAGTGGTGGGGACAGTGGTGGGGACAATGGTGGGAACGGGGGGGACAGTGGACAGTGGTGGGGACGGTGGTGGTGGGGACAGTGGTGTGGGGACAGTGGGAATGAGGTGGAAACAGTGGGACAGTGGAGGGTACAATGGTGGTGGGGACAGTGGTGAAGGCGGTGGCGAGGACGGCGGTGGGACAATGGGACAGAGGTACAGTGGGGACAGTGGTGGGGACATGGGACAGCGGGGACAGTGGGGATAGTCGGGCAGTGGTTGGGTCCGTGGAGACAGTGGGGAGAGTGGAACCGTGGTGGGAACAGTGGTGGGAACAGTGGGGACAGTGCGACAGTGGTGGGGGCACTGGTGGGGACAGTAGGGACGGTGGTGGAACCAGTGGGGACAGTGGTGGTGAGGACAGTGGTGCTGGGAACAACAGTGGGGGATGTGATGCGGACGGTGGTAGGGACCGGGAGTCGTTTGCTGGCGGTGCGTGTGGGGAGGGGGGGGTCGAACCGGTAGTGACCCCCTCGGGTTTTCGAGGGGGGGGGGGGGTTCGAACCGGTAGTGACCCCCCCCGGTTTTCCAGATCCGGAGGGGGGGGGGGAGGGGTTCGAACCGGTAGTGACCCCCCCCCCGGTTTTCGAGGGGGGAGGGGGGGGGGGTTAGGGGGGGGGGGGTTTTGCCGGGGGAGGGGGGGGGGGGGGAGGGGATTTTCGGAGGGGGGGGGGGGGGGGGGGGGGGGGGGGCCCCCGGGTTCCGGAGGAAAAGGCTGGCAATTTTCCACAGTAAAGCGGCGGTGGATCACGCCCTCTCACATCTTTCAATCACATGCGTCAGGATGGAAAACAACACATAGGCAGACTTTAACGTCGATCCCCAGGAAAACAATGGAACGTATGGGAAATGGGGGGAAAACTAACCCCGAGAAACTATTCGAAACCATGGGACATCCTGACATTGTTATTCGCCTGGGTCCGCCCATGTGGTTTGCGGGATGCGCCTGAGACCCGACTGGAAACCTTTTTGGGGCGGGCCGGAAGGACCCTTCCTTCACATCCTTTTGCAAGCAAGAGTGGGCGGCTGATCCCAAGGTTTTCGGCTCATCCCGCATCTGATCCATCATTGCGAAGGTGCTGCCCTTCGCTTTGACAGTGGCTGGGAGATGATTGCATGGATTGTGAAGGCAAGCGGCGCGCGCGTGGACGAGACGGCCACCATGCAGGCGATGACCCAGTGTCCGCTGCTGCAGGACCGCATGTGTGGCACGCATATTTTTGTGAAGACGCTGTCTGGGAGGACACTTGCGCTGGACGGAAAGGCAAGATTACTCAGACGCGGGGCTTCCCTCCAGAATTGCAGCGGCTCGCCTACGCCGGCAAGCAGCTGGACGACCGGCGTGCGCGCCTGGACTGGCCGCGTGCCCCGGATAATAATGTACCTTCCCTTTTCTCCCTGTATCTTTTTCCCGTGACAATAGGATTTAACTGTGGAGAGGGGCGCGGGGGCCGAACTTGATAATCACCGGGGGAAGTTGCGAATCGAAGTTGATATCATCAAATGTTGACTCGCGAAAACATAACAAACGCTGAGCATGGCAATGGTGGCCTCGCCATTTCAGCTTGAGCCGCCTTCGAGGAGGCCTGCACCGAGTGCCTACCGTGCAAGGGCGGCTCCAAAGGGTGCCGAGCATGCATGGGCGAGTGGTTCGAGGTCGTGCGCAAGAGAGGTTTCTGGGTCAGGAACGCCAAGGGCCTCTTTTGCGCAGGCAATATGCAGCCAGGAGGCTCGAGATCTTTCGAGTCACTCTTGTGCCAAGATCTATAGGGCAGTCTACGCGAGCGCCCAGGATCGTCATCATCATCATCATCATTATCATCATCATCATCATCATCATCATCATCGTCCGTTGGGAAAATCGGTGATTATCCCCGCCGTACCCCCGAACTTTATCCCCAGGGGAGTCTTATCGGGAGCGCAGGGTTACCACATCCAGACCCGAGGGGTCGGAGGTACCGCAAAACTTGTGGCCAGGAGGTACCTGTTGTATACATTGGCCCCGCCACCGTCCACGTGCTGAGCCCTCATTCGTCGCGCCTGTGTCGCGGGCGTGGCTGAGTGGGCGGTGCGACGGCTCAAGCGCGCGAATCCCGCTGCTGGAGCCTGCACGTGGTCACGTTGGTCCTGATGCTGGGCGCGCGATTGCAGGACTGCGGATGCCAAAATGACTGACCTGCGTTGGGGCCTTTGCGGTGCGTTATAGTCTGAAGGAATGTTGATGCCGGGGGCCCTCCCGTATATTCAGTCGACTCGAGCGGTTCGAGCGTTGGTGGATTTGCCGTGTATGCTGTTTCCTCTCCGGACCCTTCTCCTGCTGCTTCTCACCGTGGGCGGCGGACCCTGCCTCGTCTTCTTGCAGCCTCGTGGACATCCCAGTGACGTGCTTGAGTATCAGCAGCCTGTGGGCCTCTTGCCACATAGTTCAGATTCGCTGTTGCCCCTGCTGACGGAGCGCCCCATGCTCAACACTTGGGGGCGGCTTATACAGCATCCAGAGGGAGTGCGCTCCACCTGACGATGCGCCTGCGAGGCGGCACGAGCCGTGGCGCCAGCATCGCAAAGCGGAATTTGTTTGGAAAGCACTGGGGTGAGCTTGGAT